TCCCCAACATGAAAGTGTATCACACTTCTCAACAGTTTGGCAACTCTTCTGGAGAAACCCTACTCAACATCGTGATGTAATTCCGGGACTTCCCTGGTGGCCCAGTGGTTAGGAATCCGCCTTGTAGCACTGGTCGGGGAACTGGGATCCCACCTGCCGCAGAGCAACTAAAGCCGGGCGCCGCGACTACTGAGCCCACATGCTCTGCAAGTGAAGATCCCACCTGCCACAACCAAGACCCAGCTCAGCCAAACAAATAAATACAAAGGAAACACACACTGCGATAGATTCCAACCATCCTCAAGTAGGGTAATTTTTGAAGGTGTTAAAAAAAAACAACCAATCAGTGACCAGCTAAATCAGAATTAGTAGACTCCTCCAGAGTGGAAGAGAACAGGTTCCAGTTGGCTACAAAAACAGTTCCACACAAGTGAGATCTAACAAATGCTTCATTAACGGTTTCTTTTGGAGAAACTAGACAAAGTTTCCTCAAAGAACCAGGGCAAGACTGCTAGATACCATCTACTAACCAGGCAAGAAGAGGAAAGATGCTCAGTGGTGGGCCTGCAGATGTCTTTTATATTGAGTAATTCTACCACCACCTCCCACAAATCTTCTTTAAAAAATGCACCTTCCAAACTGCACTAATTATATTCCCCATCAAAAATTCGAAATATTTAACCACCACCCAACTTCCCAGTTTTCTCACTTAGAAGCTGGTGACTCCATGCAAGGCATTTCACCTCTGTGACTAAACTGAAATTTAGTTTCAAATATAACTTCTAAGCCTCCACCATTGCCTCAAGCAAAGCAAGTATGAAACAAGAAGTGGAGCTGGTCCAGTCCTATTTCTGTAGTGTATGCCACCATTTCCACTGCCCGGTGACAAACCCAAAACTTCTCTGGGGGCGTCCTGCCAGTCCTTCCAGGGCATTTGTCAGCTGCTCACAGTGATTCCTCACCATCTGGGTTATACTAAGCTTAACCCCAACCTCTTTCATGCGGCATGTATCCCGTAATGAGTTTCCAACTGTTCACCCTTCTGGATGGCCAAACCATCCCTCTCTTCCTAGAGACAAGATTGAGACATGAGCTGGAGAGGACTGTGGGCTGTTGGGATATGGGGGGGGGGGGGGGGGTTGTGCACAGCTGAGACGCAGAGTAAGGAGGTTCTTCCTAGGGGACACTCCACAGTCATCTGTTATCTGGGGTGACCCTAAAGACTGTTCCAGATGGTGTAGCTTTTATCTGTTGCAGAGGGTATCAGGTTCACTACTAGCTACAGAACCGCCAGCAGCTGTGGCTGAAGGCTGAGCCAAACACAATCAACCTGGTTTCGTGCAGGTCTTTCCATGGTGCCTGCCTCTAGCAGAACATTTCTGCAAATCACTTCCAAGCACACGGGCAATTTGCATTCTCAGTGTCACCTTCCTTCGCCTTTTCCCACGTATTTTCGCAGGCTTAAATTTTATGGCTGTACTGCCTGTGACAACAGATCCATCAAAGGGGAAGGCAGATTTGGACTCCCCTGGTGGTCCCGTGGCTGAGACTCTGAGGTTCCAATGCAACGGGCCCAGGTTGGATTCCTGGTCAGGGAACTAGACCCTGCATGCCACAGAGAAGAGTTCAAATGCCAAAACTAAAGCACCTGTGTGCTGCAACTAAGACCCATCGCAGCCAAATAAATAAAAAACAAAAACTTTATAAAAAGGGGAAGGAACACAGCTAATGGGAGGCATGGCGACAGGCTAGAAATAACTGATTAATGGTAGGGATGAAATAAAGAACAATGTAGTGGTTAAAGGAAGACTGTGAAGTTAGCTTCCTATATGACCTTGAGTAAATAATTTAAATCTCCAAGCCTTTCCCATCCGTAATATGATTATAATTCACAGTGCTTCATAGACTGCATGTCAGTGCTTAGCCTAAAACATCCTCAATGGTCTTAGGATTATTTGTTATTACGTTATCTCTTAACCAGCCCTACTGGTTGGGCACTGTTGTTCAGTCACCGGTTGTGTCTGACCCTGCCACCCCATGGACTGCGGCACGCCAGGCCTCCCTGTCCCTTGCCATCTCTTGGAGTCTGCCCAAGTTCGTGTCCGTTGCATCAATGATGCCGTCTGGCCACCTCATCCTCTGACGCCCTCTTCCTCTTCTGCCCTCGAACTTTCCTAGCACCAGGGACTTTTCCAAGTTGGGTGGGCATGGCCATCCCCATTTTACAGATGAGGAGACTGCAGCCCAGGTGAAGCCAGAATCAGAATCCAGAGCTGCCCAAGTTTGGAGCTCAAGCGCTTCCTATCACTCACGGGCCACAAGGTGCTCTGTATTTTCTTGGTGCCTTTCAATGAGTCACAAGCTCTGGGCCTGACTCTCTGGAAACCGTAATTATGGGTCTTAACAAAGGGACTGCTATCACATGAGGAGAAGGACAAACAAATTGGTTACCAAGCAATAATAAAGGCCATTGAAAACAGATTGGAAAACCTAGGTAGATGGTTTGGAAAAAAGAATCAGCAAAAAATTGAGATTCTGGACAGAGTGGAATGTTGAGGAGTCAGGGGAGCTGACCGACAGCAGAGGTGTGAGTGGCCATTCTTGCATTCCAGGCAGTAAACATGGAATGTCTTTGTCCTTAGGTCTGGGAATCCTACCATTTAGCTTGTATTATAATAGAAGCAAAACAAACACTTTGTCCTGCTGACATGCAGCATAAGCATGTATACATCATATCGCACAGCCAGGAAAACCAAATCAGTTTGCACCTTGACATAAACCAAAAGCAGCAGACCACCCAGTTTTAGATCTGGTCTCCCAAACAAATCAAACCTTGAACATTTCATGTATGTTGCCAATGTCTGGAGATACATCTCAGTGTATAAGGTACTGAAGTGAGAAAAGCTTTTCCAACACTAGTGCACTAATGTTACCCTGGTACTCTTGGTAACAATGCCATTTTCCTATGTAAATATGTCCTCTGTTTCTCCTTCGGCAAGGCAGACCTTGTGACACCACTCTTTCACATCCCTTTGCAAGGGACCTTTATTTATTATTTATTTAATGGGGACCATTTTAAAGTCTTTACTGAATTTGTTACAATATTGCTTCTGTTGCTTATGTTCTGTTTTTTTGGCCCTGAGGAATGTGAGATGTTAGCTCCCTAACCAGGGATTGAACTACACTAACCAGGGTTCCCGTACACTGGAAGGCAAAGTCTTAAGTATTGGACCACTAGGCACAGTCCCGCTGTATAGTTTTGGATGAGTTTTCCTTTTTTGTATAAGCAAATTAAAAGCTTTGAAAATTCCCGTAGTAAAGAAACTTTAATTTAGCATTTCCCAAACTTATTTGGGGGCCAGAGCACCTACAAGAGCACAAACTCTGATGCCACATATGCGCCACCTGGAAGCTGAATAACCCTGGAAGTCACTTCACTGCTGAGGCCTGGCTGGTGATCCACGGAATGGCGTGTGTTGCTGCATGACAAGCAACATGGCTGGTAAGGAATCTCAAAGAGCATCCAGCGCACTGCTAACAAACATCACTTCGTACACAACTGTTCCCTTCTCAACCGTCCAACCCACTCTAGTTTCTCTGCACCAACTTCTTGCAGGACACTCCTATCTGGGAAAACCAGAACCAAAGCTTTGAGGTCAAGCCATCTCCTAGGATAGTAAGAACAACCCCAAGGTGATCTTGATTTACATTTCTGTTCCTCCAGGTAGATGTGAATTCGGGGCAAGCTTCAAGTAGGAGCACAGCTTCTCCTCATCTGTCAAATGAGACACCACGCAGATGGGAGATTCCATTACAAAGCAGTGCAGACACAAGCACCCTTATGCAGACGCGGCTTAGACCCCCCCTTAACCGGAATTTGGTATACAGACCACAATGATTAAAGGTATTGTCCAACAGGGGGAAGTTTACAGAAATACACATAAACAGGCACACAGGTTCTCACAAAGACCTTCTATTACAAATAGCCTAGTGAAATTCTTTTCTATCCACACAAACGGCCAATTTCCGACAATGGCACCTAGGTCTTGGATAAACTGGTTGAACGGTTAAAAGAGATTAATGCTAACAGGAAACTTTTTACATCACAGTTTCTCAACTATTCATAGTAAGGAAGAGAAGTAGCAACATAGATGATACTTAAACTCTTCATTACATATAATGGAACCATACGACCGTGGGGCTGGGTACCGCCGCCCATCAACGTTTCCCACATAGATTTAACTCAGACCAACTATTGAAAGTTGTACTTTTCAGGTGCAGTAAAAGCAGGACCCCTAAACCTTCAAGCCACATATCCGCCGAGGAATGCGGGTGTTACACACCAAGCTATTTCTATTTAACGGGCGCTGTGGGGCCATCCGGTTTTGAATTTTCTACAGCCACCCATCCATTACTGTTGCATTTCTCCAAAGAAATGGGTCTCTCCCTAAGGGGAGACTCTCACTTACCCTCCGTCGGCCTGAGTTTCCTGCACTACAAAACAGAAATAAAATCTGCCTAGTAGTGTTACTGTGAAGCCTGCCGAGAACACCAGCCTTGGGGATACGCGGGGAAAGAAAGAAACTTACAGCAAACGCTATTTCCCACACAGCCGCCTCTAACACGCTGACTCTGCACGTGAGTTCTCCAGACGCTTAGGAACCGAAGGCCGCTTCCCCGGGCCCTCACCGACTATGAGCGCCTACACCTGGGCGGTATCGCCATTTGTAAACCACCTCCTCGGCCCCCCGACAGCACAGCGGCGGCCTCGCCCCAGGTCCCACGGCCCCGCCAGCGCGCCCTCCTTCCAGCCGCTTGGCGGCCGGCGCGCCGGCAATGGGCGGCGCACCGCCCGCGGAGCTCCGCCACGCACCGCCGGGTCGCGGGAGGCCGGAGCCCGAACCTCGGGAGAGCCGCTTCCCACCGCCCCGCTCCGGTTCGTTTCCCTGGCGCGGCGGTGAGGCGCGCGCGAGGAAGGAGCCGCGGCGCCGCGCGCTGACCTGCAAGTGACCTGCTTGGTGCTCATGGCGGTCGGGTCGGAGGGCCGTCGTCCGGGCGCAGCCTCTCGCTCTCCCAGCCGCCGCCGCCGCCGCCGCCGTCGCCTCCTCGGCCTCGGCCCTGCGCATCCCGCGGGGCCGCGTCACGCCGGCGCACGCCGGCGTCTTCGTGCCGCACGCTGGTGGCGCCGGCAGGAAACCTCGCCGCCGTCACAATTGGTTCCTCCCCGGGATGCGGCGGGGCCAACCGCCTATCGCTGCATTCCTAGTCCCGCCTCCCCAGGCCTCCCGGGCGGGCGTGGCTAGCCTCCCAGGCCCGCGGGTTTTACGCCGGGGGGCCCGTTGTTAGTCCCTACGTGTCTCTCCCTTTCAGCTTTCCTTAGCGACTTCTCTTGGCTTAGGATCACCTCAGCCTTCCCGCGGCCAAGCTCCCCCTTCTCCTCTGCGCAGTTCAGTTCAGTCGCTCAGCCATGTCCGACTCTTTGCGACCTCATGGACTGCAGCACGCCAGGCCTCCCTGTCCGTCACCAACTCTAGGACTTTACTCCAACTCATGTCCATCGAGTCGGCGATGCCATCCAACCATCGCATCCTTTGTCGTCCCCTTCTCCCGCCTTCAATCTTTCCCAGCATCACGGTCTTTTCCAATGAGTCAGCTCTTCGCATCAGGTGGCCAGAGTATTGGAATTTCACCTTCAGCATCAGTCCTTCCAATGAATATTCAAGGTTTATTTCCTTTAGGATGGACTGGTTTGATCTCTTTGCTGTCAGTGGGACACTCAAGAGTCTTTTTACTGCTGTAAAAACTGTCTTCTGATGAATGAACATAGAATATACTTCCAATCATGTAGAACTTTTGAAATTTCTTTCAGAAACTTAGGAAGAATATTAGAAAATTTGTAGTCTTCAGTGTAGAAGTCAACAACTTTTATTATGTTTATTCTTATGTACCTTGGTGAGTTTTTTGGACGCATTTTAAATTATATTTTTTAAAATGTCCTAATTGTTTATTGCTTGCTCCATGCTACATTCGTGTATTAATTCCAGTGGTTTCTTCGTTGTTTTGGATTTTCTACACATACACAATCATGCCATCAACAAATAATGATAGTTTTACTTTGTTTTCAGTCTTCACATCCTTTATTTCTACCTCCTGCCTTATTGCACTGCTGAGAATCTTCAGGGCAACTGTGAACAGAAGCGGTAATAGTGGACACCTCTGTCTTGTTCTTGAGTTCAGGGAAAGTAATATTTCATCATTAATTAAAATGTTAGGCCCAGAGTTTTTAAAGCTACCCCTTATCAGATAAAGGCAGTTTCTTTATCATTCTAGCTTTCTTAAGACTTTTTAATAATAAATGTCTTGTTCTTTTAAATCAAATCTGTTTTTCTCCTGAGAAAACCATACGGTCTTCTTCTTTATTTGGTTATAGCAATTGATTTTTCAATGTTAAACCAACCTGAGATTCCTCAGATATACCTCACTTGGCCATGATATATTATTCTTTCTAGAAATCATCAGATTCAATTTTAACACTGTGTTTAGGAATTTTGCATCCTTATTCATAAGAGATATTATTCTGTCGCGTTCCCTTGTGATGTCCGTGTCAGGTTTTTGTACTTGAGATGTGCTGGCTTCATAAAACAAGTTTAGAAGTCTTACCTCTTTTCTATTCTTTGGAAAAGTCTGTATAATATAGGTATTAATTTTTCCTCAAATATTTGGAAGAATCCACCACTGAAGCGGTCTCAGCCAGCAGTTTCTGACATAAGCAGATTTTTAATTAAAGATTTAATTGCTGTATTACATATAGGCTGGGCTTCCCAGGTGGCTCCGTGATAAAGAATCCACCTTCCTGTGCAGGAGATGCGGGTTTGGTTCCTGGGTCAGGAAGATGCCCTGGAGTAAGAAATGGCTATCCACTCCAGTATTCTTGCCTGGGAAATCCCATGGACAGAGGAGCCTGGAGGGCTAGAGGCCATGAGGTTGCAGAGTCGGACACGACTGAGCATGCATGCACGCATGCACATATAGGCCTATTCAGATTTTATCTTCTGTCAGGTTTGGAAAACTTTTTTTCCCCAAGTGAAATAGTCCATTTCATTAAAATTATTAAATTTATTGTCATGGAGTTGTTAATATATCTTCTTTAAAAAATGATCTGTAACCTTCTTTCATTACTGATACTAATTGGTATCTCCTTTCGTTACTGATATTATTTGGTATTTTTCTTTTTAAAAAAAATTCATTTTACTAGAAATTTATCAATTTTGTTCATCTTCTGAAGGGAGAAGCTTTTGACTTTGTTCATTTTCCCCACTGAAGATGCTTTTCATATTTCACTGATTTCTGCTCGTATCTTTACTACTTTTTTTGCCCTACATTCTTTGAATTCATAATGCTATTGTTTCTGGCTTCTTCAGATGGAACTTCAGATCACCAATTCTCAAATGTTCTTCTTTTTTAAGTATTTAAAGCTATAATTTTCCATCTAAGCACATTTTAACTGCTTCACAAGCTTTTACATCCTATTTTCCTTATCATTCAGTTCAAATATTTTCTAATTTTCTTTTTAATTTTTTTTATTTTCTAATTTTCATTCTTTGACTCGTAAGTTATTTAGAAGTGTTCTGCTTAATTTCCAAACAACTGAGACTTTCTAATTATCTTTTCCTCACTGATTTCTAGTGTAATCTCAGTGTAGAATTGTCCTCCTTTTGGTCAACAGTTGATTTATACATTTTGAAGCTGTGGTTTAGGCACAAATTTAATGCTTTATCTTTTTTTTGTGTCATACATTACTGAGAAATGTTCCTCTTCATGCTTAGCTGTACTTGTTAACTAGGGCAGAGTTATATCAGTGAAAAAAAAAGTGTTAGAATGTGTCAAGAAATTCTTCTAATTTAAAAGTAGTTAGAAGAAGACCCTGGAGCTAAAGTGCCATTCTCATCACATATTCTAAGGACTGGACACACAACCTAGTGAAACTGATTCAAGAAGCAGAAAATATGAACAGACCTCCATTAAGAGATTGAATTACTAATCCAAAATCTTCCCACAAAGAAAAGTCCAAATCCAGTAGCTTCACTATATCTGGGCGCTCAGTCATGTCTGACTGTTTGGGACCCCCATGGACTGTAGCCCACCAGGCTCCTCTGTCCAGGGACTTTTCCAGGCAAGAATGCTGGAGTGGGTTGCCATTTCCTTCTCCAGGGGATCTTCCCGACCCAGGGAGGGAACCCTTGGCTCCTGCACTGGCAGGCGGATTCTTCACCACTAGCGCCACCTGGGGAGTCAAGCTTCACTAGTGAATTCTACTGAACATTCAAAGGAGAATTAACACCAGTCCTTTACACAGTCTTAGAAAAAACAGAAGAGGATGGAATACCTCACATTCTATGAGGCCAGTATTACACCTTGATACAAAAAGCAAACACATCACGAGAAAACTACAGACCAATATACTTTATAAACAGAAATATAAAAACTCTCTACAAAATACTAGCAAATGGAATGCAGCAATGTAGAAAAAGTATTATACACCATGACCATGTGAAAAGTATCCCTGGACTGCAAGACTGGTCCAAAATACGTAAATCAATGTAATTCACCGTGTTAAAAAATAATAATATGCTCATTTTAGTAGATGTGGAAAAAAATTTGACAAAATCTAATGCCTTTTCTTTGGCATTGCCCTTCTTTGGAATTGGAATGAAAACTGACCTTTTCCAGTCCTGTGGCCGTGCTAAGTTTTCCAAATTTGCTGACATATTGAGTGCAGCACTTTCACAGCATCATCTTTTAGGATTTGAAATAGCGCAACTGGAATTTCATCACCTCCCCCAGCTTTGAACATAGTGATGCTTCCTAAGGCCCACTTGACTTCACATTCCAGGATGTCTGGCACTAGGTGAGTGATCCCACCATCGTTATCTGGGTTGTGAAGATTTTTTTGTGTGTGTGAAGATCTTTTTTGTACAGTTTTTCTGTGTATTCTTGCCACCTCTTCTTAATATCTTCTGCTTCTGTTAGGTCCATACCATTTCTGTCCTTTACTGTGCCCATCTTTGCATGAAACGTTCCCTTGGTATCTCTAATTTTCTTGAAGAGATCTCTACTCTTTCCCGTTCTATTGTTTTCTTCTACTTCTTTGCACTGATCACTGAGGAAGGCTTTCTTATCTCTCCTGGCTATTCTTTGGAACTCTGCATTCAAATGGGTATAGCTTTCCTTTTCTCCTTTGCTTTTCACTTCTCTTCTTTTCCCAGCTATTTGTAAGGCCTCCTCAGACAGCCATTTTGCTTTTTTGCATTTCTTTTTCTTGGGGATGGTCTTGATATCTGTCTCCTGTTCAATGTCACAAACCTCTATCCATAGTTCATCAGGCACTCTGTCTATAAGATCTAGTCCCTTAAATCTATTTCTCACTTCCACTGTATGATCATAAGGGATTTGATTTAGGTCATATCTGAAAGGTCTAATGGTTTTCCCTACTTTCTTCAATTTAAGTCTGAATTTGGCAATAGGAGTTCATGATCTGAGCCACAGTCAGCTCCCGGTCTTGTTTTTGCTGACTGTATAGAGCTTCTCCATCTTTGGCTGTAAAGAATATAATCAATCTGATTTTGGTGTTGACCATCTGGTGATGTCCATGTGTAGAGTCTTCTCTTGTGTTGTTGGAAGAGGGTGTTTGCTATGACCAGTGTGTTCTCTTGGAAAAACTCTTATTAGCCTCTGCCCTGCTGCTTTCTGTACTCCAAGGCCAAATTTGCCTGTTACTCCAGGTATCTCTTGACTTCCTACTTTTGCATTCCAGTCCCCTATAATGAAAAGGACATCTTTTTTGGGTGTTAGTTCTAGAAGGTCTTGTAGGTCTTCTTAGAACCATTCAACTTCAGCTTCTTCAGTGTTACTGGTTGGGGCATAGGCTTGGATTACTGTGATATTGAATGGTTTGCCTCGGAAATGAACAGAGATCATTCTATCGTTTTTGAGATTGCATCCAAGGACTGCATTTCGGACTCTTTT